ACGGGAATCTAAAAGGGTTTCCAAAGCTCCCATGATTTGCTACCGAATTTCACTATGCCTTTCTCACTTCGCCTCCATCTCCCCCCAGGGTGCGGAGGGACGAAGCTACCTCGCCCCTGGGGTGTCTGTCGGTTGCCCTGCCCTCACGAACAGCACCTGGTTTGATCAACACCCCATCGGGCAGCCGCCCCTGGGGGGAGGGATGGCAGCTCCAGTACGGATCCAACGCCACCAGCTCGAAGCTCGAAGGAGGAGGAGGAGGAGGAGGAGGAAAGGGAAGAGGAGGAGAAGGAGAAGACCGAGGAAGATGAGGAGGAGGAGGAGGAGGGGGAGGGGGAGGAGGAGACAAAGAAAAGAAGAGGGGGGAGAAGCGGCAGCAGTAGCAGCGGGGAGAGCGAAAAGCACAGGGAGGATGATCATTCAGTGCCCGAGCGCGGCGCGAAGCGACGAACGGTGTCGACATGGCCAGCCCCGAAACCCTGCGGACGGCTGCCTCTATTGGGGTGTATGCATTCACGTTGGCGCGAAGACGGGTCCTGATGGAAATGGGTCCTGGATACCCTGGGCTTCCCCTGGGAACGGTTTTGCATCCTGAGCTGTTCTTCTTACGGCCCTGGCGCCCAGGGGAGGCCCTGAGAGGCCGAGGACAGCGAGAAGTCTTTTGAGTCGTTCCCATGTAAAACGCCTCAATGGGGTCGGTGGATCTCGCCGCATCGCCAACGCATAGCTGATACATCGGCGATGCGCCGGCGAAGTCGGCGATACATCGGCGACGTCGGCGCGGGGACTATCGGGCTCCACATCGAGCCGCGTCGCCGATGCACCGGCCATGCGGTGCGACCTTCTGGCCCCATCCACTCCGACACCACCAACCACCATCTGGCAGGCCTACGGTTGGGAACTGTTGTTTGGCGTGCGCTCCGGCGGCCCCGGCGGCACGCTTTGCCTTGCGTGCGAATAGCGTGTCGCTCCGCCCCGCGGGGCGGGGGGCTCGCAAAGACTCGGGACGCTGACGCCCGAAGCTCGGGAAGTGGATGGCGTGTCGCGCCGAAGCGTGGTGGGCAAGAGTTGGCGGAGCGACACGCTGTCCAAATTCCCGACCGCATATCATAGCCCCACATCCAAGCGCGCGCGTCCGACGCTCTGGATTGGAGGGCGGTGCGGGCAGGCCGTGACGACGCGCATTTCATCCTGAGCCGCTTTCTGATGACAGTCCCGGGGCTCGTGGAGGGCCCCAAAAGCCCGAAAACGGCGAAATACCTCAGGACTCGTTTCCCTCAGATCCCGTGACCCCCATGGCGACTCACGCCGGCACGGCCGCCCTCGCCCCGCCTCCGCCAGCTTGCACGGGCGCCCCCCGCTGGGCGATCCGCCCGCGCAGGGCCACGGATCTCCTCGGACTCTCCTCGGGCGACGAAGGGCCTCTCCGGGACGCGCCCATCTCGTCGGCGCACGGAAGGGGGCAAGCCACCCAAACCTCCAGAGACTCAAGGAAATCGAGCCTCGAGTTTTTCTGCACCGCGTCCCCACACGCCCGCGCACCAGCGCCAGCGCCTGGCGCCGGTTCCCCCGGCCAGCGCCGGAGCCAGCGCCGCGCGCTCGCGCGGCTGGGCCTCCTCCGCGACCAGCACCGTCCGCAGTTGGCGCGCCGTGGCCCGGTGCAGAGCTGTGCTCAGCTCGGCGCCCCACTGCGCCGCGGGGGCACTGGCCGCGGCGCCGGCCTCTGGGCCATCGCCGAGAAGTTGCGCGCCGCTGCGGGCCAGCCACCGCAAATGCTCGAGCGCGGCTGGTCCGTGGCGCTCCACGGTCTCCAGCGCCAGCGGCAGCACCCGCCAAGACGCGCGACCGGCGGGGTAGCGCCAGCGCTGGTCGGCCTCGCCCTCCCGGGCCAGGCGCCATCGGTGCCCGCCGCTGCTGCCAGTGCGCGCCGCTCCCCTGGCACGCTGTAGCGGACTGTCACGTCCGCCAGCATCTGGGCGCAGCCAGCGCGCTGCGCCTTCAGGTCCACTAGCGCATCCTTCCAACGCGTCTCGAGCGCGGCGCCGCAAACCCCACAGGGACCTTGTGGCGGGGCGTCCGCGCGGCCGCGCGCCGCGCAGCCGGCTGCCTGGCATGCCCAGAGCCAGCGGTCCCAGGCAAGGACGTGCACCTGGTACGCCGTTTGGAAGCAGCACTCAAGGTAAATGCGCTCCCAAACGTTTTCGACGTCGCGGCTGCGCGAATTCGTGACCACGCCACAGGCATAACTGAAGGCGCGGTACGCCTTACAGCAGAGCAGCTGGCCGCAGGCCTGACCGGCCCGCGCTCCCGCGCGCAGCCATTTCCAGCAGCGGCTGTTCGGCGGCACGAGGTCCTGCCACAGCAGCGCCCGCGCGTGGTCGTTGTCCTCGAAGCGTTGCCAGGGGACGCCGTTTGCCAGCTACCAACAGGCTGCGTGAGCGCCGCCGCACGAGCGGAGTCGCGCATGCTCCTTGGGGCCCAGAGTGTTCGGTAAGGCGTTGTAGCTCCTTTTGTCTAGCCTACGCGTGAGAAGTTGCTGGGTTTCCTCCTCCTCCTCCTACTCCGCCTCCTCCGCCTCCGCCTCCTCCTCTGCCTCCGCCTCCGCTTCCGCCTCCGCCTTCACCTCTTCATCATCACCCTCCTCCTGCGCCTCCTCCTCCTCCTCCTCATCATCATCATCATCATCATCATCCTGCACGTCCTCCTCCTCCTCCTCCTCCTGCTCCTCCTCGCCCTCCCTCTCTCTCCCTCCTCTTCCCTGCTTCTCCAACTACTACTACTACTACTACTACTACTACTACTACTACTACTACTACTACTACTACTACTACTACTACTACTACGACTACGACTACTACTACTACGACTACTACTACTACGACTACTACGACTACTACTACTACTACTACTACTACTACTACTACTACTACTACTACTACTACGACTACTACGACTACGACTACTACGATTTCTACGACTTACTACTACTACTACTACTACGATTACTACTACTACTACTACTACTACTACTACTACTACTACG